CGCGGTCCCGATTTTCACAGGTCATAGCCGGCCCGTCCGTCTTGACACCTCTACATGGTAGGTAGCCCCTTAGTGGACTTTATGTTAACTTTGTCCAAAAACCGGATGAACGATATAATCATCGATTGTTCCCCTCTTTAGTGGAAAAGTAACAAATGGCATTTTTGCCGTGAGTAGCATGTTGAAAAAGAGGAATTTAGATCTCACCTAAGTGTACTTTTTCCCTCATAGATACTGGCCACTTACGATTTTTTCCAATCTAGTTCTTCTGAAATTGTCTATTTCAATTAAAGGGCTCTTACTATCCTTATAAATTAGATGGATACTGAGGAAGATTGAACCTACTTTAATTCCTATTTCAAAAATAGATAATTTTGCATTTGAATGTATAAAGGCTAGCGTATATATATGACAGGAAGATCTTGTACAAGTATCTACAAGACCTAAATTATCAACAAGCTCTCCAAGCATCTTGACAATTATGACAAGTCCTGCATCTACTACCTAATGCAACCCACCATCTCTTCCCTTCAATATCTTCGCTTCTATTTATCAATAAGAAAATATAAAGCTAACTTTTAATGGAAGAAGTTGAAGGGGTCAACTTGCGACGCTCTTGTTAAAGCGATTGTTTTTCGAATTTAATTTTTTCAGAGATGAGAGATCAGACTATCTCCAAGAAAATAGGGATCACGATCAAGAGAATAACATAAGTTCGACTCATTTGAATATGGAATCACTCTGACGTAAATGGTTTTAAGTTGTACAACAATTCGGTAGCAGATCCTTTAGTAGATGCCAAACATGAAAGACACTCTTTAAAGTTAATACATTCCTTTTATAAGCTTGAAAATAGGCGATATAAATCAATAGTTCCAAACCAAAACCAAACACTTTCTCGCATTTCTAATGTCCTAGGTAAAGGTAGAGCAATCTCAAGGAACATTCCAATGTAGTTTACGAGCAAGGCGATTAGTGTAAGGATCAAAGAAAGACGTTATAATGAATTCATGTTCAATTCCATCTATCTCTTTCGGGAAAATAGGGGGTTTGCTCAAAAGTGAAGTATGTTTGTAGAGCTTGTTATTGGTAGCTTGTTTCCATCATCCAAGCCAATCGAGAATCTGGTCTTTTAAAGTAGAATATTTCCCTCATGCTCTTAGCCACTCAACTATTAGACGTAGTAGCAAGATTATAACCTTAGATTATTTGGAACCTGAAAGATGTCCCATTAGAAATATTCTTGTTATTGCTTCAACTCGTGTTCCCCAAAAAGCAGATCCTCTCTAATAGCTCCAAATAATTAAATTGAATGACTCTGCAAGATATATTTTGTGGGGAAAAATGGGTGACTTGTGTGTAAATAAATTAACAACTAACATAACAATTTTAAACATAAATATAAGTAATATAATTCAAAAATAATATAACCATATATAATTCAATAATAACATAATATAAAAAAGAGAAGAGATTTATAAAGCAAGCTTTAGGGAGTTATGTCAAGGACGTTACCCTAAACTCGTCTTGCCACCTCTTAGTGCGTGTACTTTTGGCACTACATGGTTCCAAGATAAAATTCATATAGCTCAAGCCAATTATCCTTTTATGGGCACGACCACAAGGAAATAAAGAACGAGTCTCTCACCGAATTGCCAAAATAGTATGAATATAGTATAAAATTGTAGGGAGGATAATACTTCAAGTTGTTGTCATGTCAAAATTTAAAAATTGACTCCCTTTTATAGTGTAAAACTTAACCCCACAATAATGAGAATTATCCTAATTAAAATATAAGTTACATTATGAAATTATGAGTTTTAATTATGAAAGGTTATAACTTTATTTTTTATGTTACAACAATCCCTCACAAATTTTAAACTTTCAAACTAGATAAATATATAATATATAGTGGCAACGTTATAATGTGTAATATATGCGGTGTCTTTTGAAGTTGAATTTCACTTAGTGATAACAATTTTCATTTGACGGAGTCCTAAGGGACTAAACCTTGAATTATGTCCATTTAGCCAAACTTCAATTGGCCTACACATAATATCGATTTAGGCTCAGTTCATTGCGAGTAGCGCTGTTAATAGACATTCGCTCTAATCTTAATTCTAGTAAAAGCCTCTAAGGAGTAGCTCAATCCCATAGTCACGGCCTCATGATAACTCTTAGGTGAGTCCTCCAAGAGTGTGTGTGACCTACACCTTGTAAGAATTCTCGTCTCGGTACTCATTCAAGGTTAAACCCTCCCTAACATCACATTATTAGCACTATCACAATAGGGATGAGCACAAATAATATAGTGCTATTACAAGTCATACAATACGAGTTGTTTCTAACACATTGAACCTTCTTCATGGGATCTCCAATCACAAAGATTTGGTTACTCTCGAAAGTGACACCCTTATGGGCTTAAACACATCCCCCTCGATGATTTATGTATTTCCATCTTCAACTACAATTTATTTATGTCCCTCCTCAACAATAATTTGATACCATCAATCTATAAAGCTCTTATTCTCCTCTTACACATCTGCAAAGTCTTTTAAAACATTTCAAAATATCTATGTTACATTTTTAAGTATAATAAGATAAACTCGTTAATTTTCAACTATTGACCTTTTGTAGCAGTATGGGCACATGCATCAATTGAGCTCTTGCATTTCACTTGCAAGTCTACAATATAATTTTTAACACTTTTCAAAAGTCAATTTACAAATAAGAATAATGAAATATATAAAGTTTATCAATCAGAAATTTCAAACACCACCACATTCTAAAGATATCCAGCTTATGGAACTTCTTCACCACATTCCAAAAGTTAAAGAATCTTAATAATACCAATTAAGAACCATGTGAAAATTTAACATCAGGATTTAGCATGGCGTCTATACATCTTTATGTGTCATATACACATATGCTAGGGTATTATCAGAAGATATCAAATATTCCATGAAAATCAATAGCCAGCCTTGTGTTTTAAAGTTATGAAAAAAAATCACACCCTTTTACTTATTCTTCTCACTAGCCATTAAAGTATTGAGTTTATCATTCCTCAATACAAAATATGCAGATCATAATACTTATCCTTTTCAATTGACAAGATATTCTTAATGCGTATTATATGCATTAATTACTACCAATACACTTTCCGAGACATCATAGTGCTATAGAAACAATACTAAACATTGGTCTTTAAGTCAAATATCTTTCACTTTTCAAAATTGTCCTACAATAGCATATCTTTCTGCCATTTGCTGTTTCACTTGGCATCATCAGGTGTTTCTTTTACAAAATAAAGTAAAACCTGAAAAGTCCACACCTAATGCTTTAGGGCAATAAAGTGGAGTATGCTAAAAGACACTATTAAGTAGGGATGGTAATTTGAACTGTTAAAATCAAAAATTGCGGTTAACAGAACCGAATGAGGCGGAAAAAATCGAACCAATGGTGCAATGGGGCGGTT